ACTGGTTTTTAAATGGAGCCTCTCTTCAAGTAAACATCTGTATTTTTAATCACTATGCAAGTGCCAAGCGTATTTAAAAGAGCATCTTTCTATAAAAGGGAGTCTTACTCTCATTTATGACCATAAGTGGAGAGCACGTTCACCCTCCGTTGTCCCGGCGCCTACCAATGACTGAGGACATTTGAAGCCCATTGGCACCAATTCCACAACAGAGAAAAGAATGAGACGGGAGGCATCTTGTGCTTCTTTTCAACTTGACTTTCGGCAGTGATTAATGAAGTCAATCACCTTTTTACATGCCTATTGGATATTTTATAGTTGTCTTAGGAAAATGTGTGTAAGCTTCTTGGCCCACTTCATAACTGCTCATTGGTCATCATTCTGTCAAGTCGTGTTTCTTCTTTCCTTTTCCCCCTCAGTTCGGTTGTTGAAACAGTCTCACCCAGCAGCCCAGATGAACTTTTACTCACAATCCTCCTGTCTCAGCTTCTCAAGTGCTGCAATCGCAGACAGTGTCACAAAATCTGGCTTTCTGTTGTTTTCGTATAGATTCTCATTAGTGAATTTCCAATCAGATGTGCCCGATCTGATGTGTAATGCAATTTGTGGGTGTTTTCTCTTGCTTCATGGATTATTTTTTTAATTTTCTTATTTTTCTGTGCACTGCAGAAGTCTTCCAGCTTGACATAATTGCTTGTGTCTATTTTGGTTGCTGTTGTGACACCAACTATTACAGAGTGTTCACTTTCTCCTGTTTCCTGCTTTGTTTCTTCTTTGGTTGTTGACTTTATTTTAGCTTGGTCACTTCCAGACACACGTTTAGGTCTTAAGATTAACTTTGGGTTGATGGTGTGTGTGTGTGTGTGTGTGTGTGTGTGTGTGTGTGTGTGTGTGTTTAATATAAGGGTCCAATCTCTTTAACTCCAGATTTTAATTCTCCCCACCCCGTGTATTGAAAATGTGGCACACCCATTGTAACCTTTTGGTGGCCTTATTGAAAATTAGTTGGTTTTTCTATGCTTTGGTTTATCTGTGAACTCTCTCTGTACCATACTATGAACAGTTTGCCATCTTTAATTTTCCAATAGGGTAGCTTTCCATTTTGACGTGTCCATCAATCTATGTACTGAGTATAACATATCCAAAGAAGATGACATCAGTCTTCTGTAGAGATGTATGCCCTCTTGTGTTTATTACACTGTTCACACAAAGCAAGAAATGGAAATAACAGAAATATCCATTAGAGATGGAAAATCACATACAGAAACACACTCACACAGAGAGTGGAGGGGGGGAGAGAGAGAGAGAGAGAGGGAGGGAGGGAGAAAGAGATCAATGTTATTCAGTCATTAAAAGGAGAAAACCCCATTCCAACAATACAAACGAATTTGCATGAGTACACACTGTAGCTGTGCACAAGGAATAAGTAGGTAGAATTACTTTACAACATTTGAGCTGTTGTTTAATTCTGCTTTATATTTGGTAAATGTGCTTAAAAGTAGTAAAGAACTCCCAATACATACAGAGGTCCCTATGAAAGGTAATAGGCAGGAAAATTTGCTTGACTGTGGTAAATTATCTCATGATATATAGATAGATATTAAAACATTATATTGTGCCATAAAAATAATGAATAAATTTTAGGAGATGAAAAGTTTTTTTAAAACCTTAAAGTTAAAGGATTTTAGGGACTGTAGAGATGGCTCAGCAGTTAGAAGTTCTTGCTGCTCCTATAGAGGATAAGTCTTGTTCCCATGTTCAGAAGCTGATAGCCACCTGTAACTCCAGTCCAAGAGTATCTGCTGCCCTCTCTGGCCTATGCTGGCATAAGCATAAATGTGCATATACTAACACATAGACATATACACATAAGTAAAACTTTAAAAATGTATCTAAAAGAAAATTTAAGTAAAATGACTTGACAACAGAATGGATAAACTGATGCAAACAAAGCATGAAAGGTATCTGGGAGAGAAAACCTGGGTATTAAAGAGAACACTGAGCACATGTTCATTGTCTCCCTTAGTCACATCCAAGAATCCGAGACCAGGAAGCAAGCTTCCTGCTGCACACAACAGACTCCATAAGATAGCTTTTATTCCTTAAGTTTCCTTGGTGTAGAAGAGGTAAGAAATAAATCCAGAGTTCTCATTTTATAATCATATCACAAAAAAAGATTGAGCCAGCAATTTATACAGCCTGTGTTTTTCCTGTGAGCAAAACTGCTTATGAGGCAGTTTCTACTGCATAGAGACAGCCTCAAATGACATGATAAGCGCTGGGTGACTTTAACCTTGGCTCCAAATTGGAGACAGAGATGCGTGAGAAGTAAGTTAAACCTCCAGTTCTCATTCCAGCCAGTTATATTAGTTCTGGGTTTTCTAAAAATAACAACAATAATAATAATAATAATAATAATAGTATAGTTTTTGCTCCTGGAATGAATGAGGTACTGAGCAGAGCTAAAGGGAAATGGCACCCTGTGTAACAATCATTCTGTCTCCTACTTCTCTGCTGGAGGACTCACAGCATGAAGAAGCCTGCAAGTTGTTCTGGACATTAATGAAAATGAAAAGGAACTTATTCCTATGACCTGTCTTCTAGAAGGAAGAGAGAGCAGGAATCCCTCCATCCAACTCCTTGCAGCCTCTTCACAGCGATTCTTACTAGGGAACTTGACCTGTAACCATTGGGGGCTCAAGTTTGTAATGTACACAGCATTTCTAAGCCAAAAGACAAGCTGAAAATGAGGCACAGTTATTTCTCTCTGTTCCTGAAAAAAAAAGTGTCAAAAACCAGAGCATGAATACTAAAAGGAAAGATATTTCCTATGTAGGCATATTAACCTATATATGAAAGGGTAAAATTCTTTAAAAGACAATAATTTTTTAAACACTGGGAAAATTACTTTTTCCATAGTAATATCTTTGTATCTTCTTTAAGTCCTACAAAACATGAAGATTTAATTCCTCTGTGAGTTTTGATGTTATCCTGGTTGTCATGCCCTAGAATCTGTTTACCCTAGCAATGCCCCCATATCATCAGTCACAATCTTCTTCTGATCAGAAAAAAGTGAAATAACAATTATATGATTAATATCAAAGTACACAAATAATTTTGTTTAACAATAGCAAAGGAGAAGGTTTATCAAACCAGACATAACTGACACAAAATTCCACTAGATAGAAGTCCATACTGAGACCAGGAAGAACATAGGATTTTTTTTTTCTTCCTTCCAGTCTTACTGATGATAAGCAATGAAATGATCATGGAGAATTTTAATAAAACTAGGAATTTAAAAAAATTTAAATCATACATCAAAAGTCTTTCCCAGGTAAGAGCATATCAACTCGTTGTCCAATAGCAAATGGTCAGCTCTGAAAACATATACAAGTTACATTATACATGTTAAGAAGGTTGTATTTAGGTATTTAGGAATATATATATATATTTACATAAAATAATTGTATAGATTATATATTTATATGTACACTCATGGCACAGTCATACCTGATGGGAACAGTAGAAGTCATAAAGCCAGCACAACTGCTTTACAAAGATCCAGCAAAGCTGAGCTGCAGGATGTCTACCATGCCACTTTTGGTTTTGATCTCTTCCTGTTGCATATTTGGGGGAACTTTTAATATTTGTACAATTTGGGGATATTGTACTGATGGAAGTTTTTATGAATTATTTATGTCTTCTCCCAGGAGTACTGCTTCTAAGCTTCCCCAAGAAAGTCCTGAACATACTTCCCCTTCCCGCTATTAGGGAGATATCCTTATCTACTTGAAGGTCTTCCTTACACCTTAGAGCTTGTGACACAGATAAAGAAGCCAGAGGTCTCTTTATGAGTCTAGGAGATATTCTTGAAACATTTGTCCCTGTACTTATTCAGGAACAAAATAATCAAAATGAAGTAAACTTAAAAAGGTCAACAAGATTCGGTGGGCTAGAGGAGTTGGCCACAGATCAGATTGCAAGCCTCTTCCCACTATACACTCAGGGAACTACTTGGCCTATATAGCAATGAAGTTAGAATAGGTGAAGTTACCTCTGACCTCCACAGGGGCTTATATTGATGAGTAAAATATAATGTAGAAAGATGATAAAAGAATGAGATGTCAGGGCTTCCCTTTCTAACTAACACATGCAGAGCAGCTGTGATGTCATATGACCAAAGAATGAAAGAATGTCAGGATTAGACATATAAACATATTATATAAAGATATAAAATGTAAACATTGTATTGTGTCAGAATTTGAATAATAACTGTAGCAGCTTTGGCCTGAGGATTCTTCTTGGGCACGCTGATCATTAAGAGTTAATAATACACTCCTTGGGACATGGCAATCTGCCTGGGCTGACTTGGAGATTTTGTTTTGGTCAAGCATCCTTGAAGCCACAAAAACTATTTGCCTGAAAACAGGCAGGCTGTCATGTACCTCTAGATTCTTAAGAAATTGGGTTATGGGGTTAATGAGTAAAAATGGTTAGAATAGATAACTGTTAATCAATGATGATCAAACTCGAGGGAAAATGATTATAAAAGATAACTCTGTTCTGTCACAGTTTATCAATGATGACTAAAAGATATGCAAGAGGAAATGAAACACATGTCCCCAAACAATGTTATGATCTATGTTTTGGAACAACATGAATCTATCCCTGCTTACTGAATTCTGCATAAATAAAGAAATACTCTGGCTGCTAGTCATCAGGCTGCAAGATTCTCCTGACCATCAATGCCTGGCTCATCCTTGCCTCGCCAACTCCTTACCTGTCTGGGACCTGTCAACTGTCGGGTCTGGCCCCGGGGAACATTCATATATGTATGTAATAACAATTAATGAAAAAAGATGCCATAAATTTGAAAAGGATAAAGAAATGGATATGGGTGGGTTTAGAGAAAGGAAAGGGAAGGGGGAAATTATGTAAATATATTCTAATCTGAAAAAATAAAAGAAATATTATTTAAATCACACACCAAAATGTTTATTATTGAGTGATTTTTAATAATAAAGCTTAAATAAAAATATTTGCAGAATTCCAATAATCATATCCTAAGACTAACTTCATAAGGATGTATGTTGTAGATATCAGTCTAATATATTACCTTGCGATACATATTTTACACATGAATTTACATAGGTTTTCTTGGGATTTATACCATAAAAACTCACAGACTGGTTTCTTTACAAGTATATGATTTAGGAAACATAAAGTATAGACTGGAAAATTTTGATTATAAAATTTATATACATACTGATTTTCATTACAATTTCTTCTATATATTTCTGATCAATATACACAAGGAAAAAACACTTCTCCCTACAAAACACAGGCAGCTAACAGCTCCCTGTCAGACAGAGCAACATTACAGATTCCTCATTCCCCAAGCCAACAACTACAAACTTAGTTACAATATTTAAAAGCAGGATAAGCATCTATTAATTCATATTCCTTTGAGGAAATAAACATCTGATAACAGGAGATCAAAAATGTTAATTTTTCCTGCCCTAGGCATAAATACACTGTATAGACAGATAAATACTTTCTTAACTCTTCATTTGTATCTGACATCTCTGCCCCAAAGTTATACAACATTGACTGATAAGGTAGTAGGAATACTTAGTGATCAGTCCTTATCACTATCATGATCTAAGAAATATTGTGTCCAGTTCTGCAACAGTTTACTATGTTAAAATTTTGAACAGAGCATTTTCTTGGAGAAAACTTTAAAACAACTGATTGGGAATTAAAGGTTTAAAAGCCTTTTTACAGTGTTAGTTATGGGTTGGGTATTAAATTGACTATAACCAAGCAAATAAATGGTAGGTTAGAAGTCAGATAAGAATACCTGGTACCTATTTTCAGTAAATACATAACATATATTTAAACATTAAATACATATATGAGGGGGCTGGAGACATGGCCCAGCAGTTAAGAGCACCTCTTGCTCTTGCAGAGGACCTGGGCCCAATTCCCAGCACCCACATGGTGGTTCCCAACTATCCAAACTCCAGTTCCATGGCAACACAGTTTTTGATGCCCTCTTTTGACCTCCATGGTGCACACACCATGCACACACATACATGCAGGCAAGACACTCCATATAAAATAAAATTAATAAATCTAATTTAAAACACATATGTGAACATGTACTAGGGCATGATATGAACTAGACCCAATTTGAATTTCTTTCTAGATATTATACCTCCTCCCCTTTCTCTTTGGCAAAGTCATTTTATGAAAATATGTAAGGCCCCATACAAAATCATTGTTATGTCTCATAAAGAAATGCCCATTTTATAAATGCTTTAAATAGAGAATAATTAGACTGAATAAGATTGGAAAACCCTAAAGTTACACAGAATGGGCTTTGGAATGGGACAGAAACCTCTACTGGAGAAGCAAATATAAATAAGATATATTCATTCATTTTACATCAATTTGACTGTCTTGTCCTTGTTCAAATAAACCGAATTTGTGGGTGTGTCTGTGACAGTGTGTTGTAAAAAAATAGTACTTGACTCAGTGGCCTGAGAAAGCCATTGGTTTGCCTCATTGTGGGTGGGCACTATCAAATCCCTGGAGTACCTTCATGAAACAAACTCAAAGGAAAAACACATCCCTGTTTTGCATTGTTTTCTGTATCAGTGCTTGAGCTCATCTACCATAGCTTGCCCTGAGACTGTGGTGCATACAACGACCTCCTCTTTCTCAGGCTTCAGACTCACAGGTGCACCAGTGCTCCAGGGCTTCCAGAATTCAGACAACAACGACTTCCCAGCCACCAGGAATATGTGAGCAGATCCTCAGGAAAAAAACAAAACAAAACACATGAACAATTTTTCAGTGTGTCTGACCCCAATACTTAGTACTTAAGCACAAGAAGTGTGTTCAGAGGGGAACATGAGTCCAGCAACACAAGAATGTAAAAAGGATTGAGTTGGAGATGTGGATAAATTAGGAAGCAATGCCTTCCATATCATAAACTCAGACACTTGGTCACTGGTTGGGAATCTTACATTAAACATCTGTGGTCCAGATGAATGTGATGATCTTGTTAAAAGAACAAATGTGGACATATTTACTATGGGCAATAAGATTCGAGAGCAAAAGGAAGCACCCCTTCCTCTCCCACATCCTTCTGCCTCCTCATGCCATCAGAAGCAGGAAAACAGCATACAGTAAGCAACTGTCAAGATGTCTAGACTTGATTGCTCCCACTTAACTCTTACTATTGTTTTGGATGGTGAGAAAGCATGTTTCCAGCTCTGTGTTTTGACCTTTCCCCTCCCAAGTCCTGTCTCAGCACTCTCATAGACTAGAATGCATCTTCTTGGAGACTCACTGGACTTGGGATAACAAGAGACCTTGCTGCTCCACTCAAAAAGAATAGAAGTAGAACTTTTCCTCCAACAACCAGTGCATCTTCTTGCCTCTATCCTCTTGGTAAGCTTACTTTCTCTTGCTATATTCTCTATATTATAGAACACTAGATCTCTGATGAGGTAATGACTTCCATTGTAAAGTTATGCAAATGAATTCCAAGCATGCTGTCAGATGATGAAAGGCAAAATGATGACAATTTATTCTACTTGTTCTGGAGTAAACATTGGTAAACTAATTACATGACATACCTTCACACAGTGTCTGTAAATGGAGGAAGAGTCTCTGATTACTGGTTTTGTCTTTATTTCTATTTGATAAATTATGTGTAATTACAGTGCAATTAGGTAACACCTTTAGCATTAAAGAAAAATAAGCCATGTAATAAGGTATAATTTCTGGTAACAGAAAAGTTCTCATGATTGTAAATAAAGAAACCACATGATAATTCTGAAATTCATTAGCATATTTTGGTTTATGTGGGTGTATTTTAAAGACAGATTTGCAGATGTAGAACTATATTTAGAGAGTATCAATGCTGTGGGATAATGCTTTTGTACACTGGTTTAATAAGCTTCAGCAACATATCAATTCTGACATCTCTAATGAAAAGAAAGTTGAAGTAATTCATCTTTCATGTAAGTAGATTTAGTTATAGATAAAAATCTACTCATACAAAGTAGCCTTAGAAATTTCAAAAATTATTTATCCACTTACCCTCAGTAATTAAAGCAACAACTAATTAAATCAACTTCTTAACTAGTTAATCACAACTAAACAATAAATTTGAAACACTCAGCCAGGTTACATTCAAGACGGAATTTCCTACATCTCTCTTCATTCCAGGAATTTTCTATATCTCTCTTCATTCCACTCAAATATTAAAGAACCTTCACGCACTTCACATCCAAGGATGAGAGATTTGGAATTGCCTGTAGCAAAGCCTATTTGTTTAATGATATTTTAATATTAAATTTTATATTAAGTAATAGTATTCAAACTATAAGAAACACTGTCAGTAACTAACAATCACACTCACTACTACATTCTTGCATTCTGTTCTACAAAATGGTGGCGAAGAGCAGAAAAGGCTGTCGAATGTAACAATGGTAACATCAACTGCTATGCTACCAGGCTGGAGCTAAGAGGAGAGGAGGGGAAGGACAGTTCAGTGTCTTTGTCCCAGTTGCTTCCTATATGCTCCTCTACCTCTTTCTCCTAACTATGTGTAAATGAAGACATTTGCTGCATGTCAAGGTAACACTTTGGGACAAGTGACAAGATTTCCAGGCTATATCATAGCATGCACATTCAGAGATCATTTACATTAGTAATCTTGTATCTATACATTTCCCCTTGTAGTATCACACCTCGAAAAGTCATCTGTAACAAAAATTTGCTCTTCGGACCCGTGGGATGGCTCTGCAAGTTAAGGCACTTGCCTCCAAGCTGGACCACCTGAGTCCATCCAACTCATGCAAGTTGTCCTCTGACCCTCACTTTCGCACACACACACATACACACACACACACACACACACACACACACACACACACACACACACGAAAACAAATAAATAAACGCAAAAAACATAAGTAATGCATTTGTTTTCCTAGATCCCGTTGTTCTATGCTGATCGGCATCGCTACCAAAAATGGCATTTGAAATCTTCCTGCCACTGCCACTTGGATTCTTTCCCATCCTAAGTCAAGGGTTGTGTCTCGAATCAGGCATCCACTTGAACCCTTGTGCTGGTCTCTGAAGAGCTGTTAGTGCTGATAACAAATCACATAAACCAATCTACCTCCATCCTTTTCGGTGTCCACTTGTCTGTCCTATTTCTGCCAACAATGCCTTTTAACAGATTCTAGATATTGTCATCTACAAAACCTTCTCAGCTCTAAGCATTTAGTTCATTCACCATCCTGTCAAAAATGGTGGTACAAGCTTGTAATCTAAGCAGTCAGGAGTCAGAGGCAGGAGGATCACAAAGAATAAGCCTAGCTTGAAAAACCAAGGGTATTTAAGGTAGGAGGTGCAAGGCTCTGAGTCTGGTCTCCAGCAATAAATAACAATTTAAAACAAGTAAAATATTCAGGCGTCACCCTTCTTGACCTCCATCTCATTTCTGAACCACTTCACTACATCTATTTCCTACCTGCTTAGGACTAACAATTCACCAGGCTGCCTCCTTTCTTCCTACCTACTCACCCCCCTCCATTTAGCAGTACTCATAGAAAATACGATGATAAGGAAGGGTCGAGGTGCATATTTGAACAAGACACCAGCAGAGGAGACACTTACTGAGGGGAGGATAAAAGGAAGATGGAAAAGTCAGAAGAATAAACACAAAAGGCGAACCTCGGATTTTTCATCTCTCATCCCATCACTGTTGAACGCTTTCATAAAAGAAGTTGAAGAAACCAGCCTCGTGTATGAATACACTTCTTATAGATAAATTCTGCCCAGCCAATGAAGCATTTCTGTGGAATAAAAGATGAAAGTGAGATGCTTTGATTTGGAGAGAAATACCCATGATAAGAATTAGGACCTTTGAGTTAATAGAATACTTCCTCTCAAGGGGATTATTTAGAACAGGAGAAAAGATATAATTGCATTGTAATCTCAAAAATAAAAGACAAATTTAAAAAAAAAACAACTTAAGACACTTATTTTCAGTTTGAATTCCATGTTCTTCCAGTCTAGCAAACAGATTCATGACCTAATCCCCTATTCCTGCTAATAGAGTCAACAGAGTGTGGCCACTGCCCTTTAGCCCTACCTTGACCAGCCCCCAGCCAGGGTCTCTGCAGCCCTTTCCTTGAGACAACTGTTGCAGGAGCAGGAAAAGTCACGTGCCTGAGGTGATCCAAATCATGATCACCTGGCAGCTACATCTTACCCATGAGCCCTCAAGGGGCTCTGAGCTCCTTTGTTCTCTTTCTTGTTTCTTATCTTTTCTCTTGTTTTAAGAGAACAGAAAAGAACACAGAAGTGATGTGAAAAAAAACAGGTACCACATATTCTCACTCCTTTGTGGAAAGTAGTAGGTCAGTCTTGGGAAAACACTGGATATAATACTGGCCCCTAGGGGGAAAGAAGACCAGGAGGTGAGAAGTCAATGAGAGATACAAAAACGCAAGCAGGGAGGAGGGATCGCTTTTGTTTTCCTGTGCCCCAGAAAGGTAACGATGCACTAAAACAATAAATGAAATATTTCAAAATGATATAGAAGATGGACTTCCCAATACATAATAAACAACAATACATAATAAATGACTTATGTTTTAAAAATGAATACCCATATATCCTGATTTAATCAATACACATAGAATATATGTGCCAAATTACTATAATGCACCCCCACGGAAATGCACAAACATATATATTTTAATTAAAATTATATTTAAATAAAAGCTTTCATGATTTCAAAGAAATCTCCTAACTGCAAATGTAGCTTTTCCTGTGCACAGGCTAAGCTGCCTAAGAGTGAGAGGCTTTATGATCCATCGACCTCCGAATTATGGGCCCAGCATGCTTCTGGGCCCACGTAAGAGGCTTTCTGTATGGAAGTGTTCATGTCTATCTTTCTCTTCTGAATATGCTGTAGCCTGAAAAATCTACCCTATCACAGAGGTGATGACATCTTCACGTTTCTAAACTTCAGTTGGAGGCAACTGAGAAAAGCGTCAGTTTCTACTCCATTCTGATACAGCTGTCCTATCTCCCCAGGGCAGCAGCTGGCTTGGGAGCAGAGCTGGAAGGCTGAAGGGCACTCACGGGCAGCAACAAGGGAAGCTCTCTCCTTGCTTCCCATTGACCGGTCTCCAATGCCTCCTTCTCCCTTAACTCCTAGAATACTTGCTTTGTGCTATAGAAGAGGCTTCTTGTGTCTGCATTACTCCATGGCTTTTCTTACTTGCATGTTCTTATAGTGATAGAAAAGCAAAACTTGACAGTGTGCCAGAGAAGTACATCTTCACACCTGAGGGACATGTTCTGATTCTTGGCAGACTTTACCTGTTCAAAAATAGGAACATTATCTTATAAACATGCTTATTAAATTCATCTCATTATATATTAAGTACATGAACAGTTTTTTAAGTCCTATATTTGCCATGATAGAGTTCATCTCTCACAGAGTTTCCCACTGATGAAAAAATATCTTTAAGTCCAGAAGGAAATGTTATTCATAATTACATTCTTCATTTCATAGAGGGATTGCATACGGCCTATTGCCCATATTTATATATAAATCTTCATTTCAGCCCACTCCATTCAGGCTCCATCTCCACTCTTTCAGTTTGATATTAAATATAGAGACTGGACAACACTCCAGACTAAACCTTATTTTTTCACTATATCAATATCTGCCCAAGTGACTTCCTTCAGCACTCCTGATTTCATCTTATCTAATCATTGAACACAGCCAAATGTTTTATCAATAACCCATCCTATTCTTCTGAGTTCAGATCTTCAGATGTGGGTTGAGATATCTAGCTTTTAATATCTACCATCAAACCACAGCCTGTCTCTCTCTGTGTCTCTGTGTCTCTGTCTGTCTCTGTCTGTTTGTCTATTTCTCTCTCTCTCTCTCTCTCTCTCTCTCTCTCTCTCTCTCTCTCTCTCTCTCTCTCTCTCTCTCTCAATTCCATGTAACCCTGGATGATCTCAAAAGTCCAAGCTATCCAAGGATGCCATCCTTCTATCTCCTCCCAAATTATGAAATTAGAGGTGGGTGCCACCAGATCAGGTCACAAGACTACCATTTTTCTTTATTTCACTTCTTTTGAACTGACTTTTAGCAATTTGGAAAGGTGTCCTAGACGTTGAAACCAAGTCTTTGTCTATGCTAGACCAGAACTCAGCCAATAATGCATATCCCATCCCTCTTCTGCTTAAGAGAGTTCTAACTAAATTGGCTAGGCTGGCGATGAACTGAAACTGTGTCCCAGATAGGTCTTTAACATAACCCTCTGGAATTAAGGGACAAGCCACCAGAATCAAATGACCCTTGCCAATTTTTAACTCATAAATCTAAGAGGTCCTATTTTACAAATGCCTATACTATAAATGATGAATGATATTCTTATGTGTGTTACATTCAGAAAATATGACAGCAAAATTTCACATGAGTTGCTAAGGAAGTATGACAAAGCAGCTATCCTAATAAGAGCGGTTATTCCAACTATGGTCCTTACCATCACTCTTATCTACTGCCTCATTTTCTTAAGTAACTTATCACCAACTCTTTTTGTTTGCTAAATGTGTCTTGACCCCTAATTCTCCTCCAAGACTATTCTTTACCCCCTAACTCTTCCCAACCTTCCTTGACAAGCCTATTCTAAGTTACCATGTCTCTGACCCCTATGTTCTCTACAACAGATGCTTCGTAGATGTTGTGATTTCTGTCCTTGTTCCTCCTAGGGTTTTTCAGAGGCCTTCAAGCTGACTTCTGCCTGGACCAAATCTGATCATACCTTCCTCCAATAGTGGTGATCTTCAAAAACGTTGCCATTAGAATGGTCTGCATGGTCTTGAGTTGCTAACACACAGAGTTCCCTCATGTGTTCTACTCTTGAGCATGCCGATAAATCCCATTTCACAGCTGAGCCTTTGCACTGTTTATTTTCTGTACCTGGCACAGAATTGCACCCTAATTTGCCCCATTTTTGCCTAACTTTTTCTCATTAATTATTTCCTTATTCTACCTTCATAGTTTATAGTACACACTTTTCTAGAAGCATTTGCCTGATACTACGTAGTCAGTAAATTACAAACGGAAAGTCATGAACCATCCTGTGTCGTGAAATCAATGCTATGTCAAAAATAAGTTGTTTTATACTCATGATAGAATGTCATGATCTGGTATTTAATTAGAATGAAATTGAATTGAATCAAATCAAATATAATACAACAAAATGCATTATATAAGAATGTTCTTTCAGGACACTCAGCTAAGCTTTAGAAAAATTTTGGTACTATCATAAGTATGTTTGTGTGTGTGTGTGTGTGTGTGTGTGTGTGTGTGTGTGTGTGTGTGTGTGTGTTAGGGATGAAGTGCATTTTCTCACTATTGTCATATTCAAAAATAAATATGGAAACACAAGTTGGAAGAAATATGATTTAAACAATATGCACCATTTGTTCCTTTTCACAAGCACTGCATGGTCTTTTAGTAAAATAAATACACTTAGATATTTTCTGAATACCTAACTCAGAAGTATTTGTCTTATAAAAACTAAGGAAATAACATGAGCTAAGGCTCAGCGTCCATCAAATGATGTGTCAAATGGCCTTCAGTTTAAGATTTTTTTTTCACAACTTATACAACTTCTGGAAATTTCTCTTTCCTCTTCTTGGTTTACAAATGACACTTTCTACTTCACTGGATTATGTATATTGTCACAGTACTCAGCACTGTGTCTATCAAGTACTAGGCACTTAATAAATACAGTGTCTTCTCTATTCTCTGTCTTCCCCAATTCCCAGGTACAGTTTCCTACTATGTAAAGAAGTATCTTGAGTTTCTTGCCTTGGTCTCATGACAGAGGCTTTTCAGGAATAGAACTTCTAATTATACTTCATACTCATTGTCTAATGTAACTATAATATGATCAAATATAATATAAGCAAATTTTATTATATCACGATTTTTCTTTCAGTTTGTTTCTCCTGAGTCATTTTTCTTAGTTCACCCATTTATACTTTAGCAAACCATCTTTTTGGACCATTCTCAATATTGTTGCACACTGAAATATTCCAAGTCAGGTTTGAAAACCTGGACTTAAAGTTCTACTGTTGAATTGGTTTATTAGCCAATATAAGATGCTGACAATCTCTAGCAAAGTGTTTCCATACAGACAGCAAAAGTATGGTTCAAGACCAAATTATGGTTTCATCAAAGTGTAAATTTCCTGGAGTTAATGTCATGACTCAATTGTCCAGGCACAACTCCACTATTCTCCTCCATGTCACCTCAAGATTCATGAGTCTGTCATCATCATTTCTTAGATGCAGATGCAGAGTATCTTGGATGTTCTACTGAAGATGTGATTATAGAAACAAGGTAAACAGTGCTCAAACCACTCAAAGGAACTTATAAGACAAGAAATACTCCAAATACTAATAAAGGTTTCATTATTAAAATGCAAATAACTACAATTAACACAAAGTTAATTAATAGTGAGATTCTCCTCTGCATATCTGCATCCACTGATTTTGCATCCCTTAGTGTGGAAAACCTCTAAAAGTAATTTATAATGTTCCCTCATTTGACTAATTCCCAAAGTCACTCTAGAAGTCATTATTCAAGTACTTAGAGTAACTCTTTAAAGTTGCTTTTTTTTTAACCTTATGAATGAACTAGTTTTGCACCTGGATTCCCCTCCATCTCTGACTGTCCTAAAGGAAAGTGTAACTGGGCACAACAATTTTAAGAGTAGCAACTTTAAGGGCATTCCCTTCAGAGTAAACTGGTCTCAATTTTCAACAACTCTTAATGTCTATGTACTTATTTCCTAATGTGCTAAATGCTTCTAAAATCTGCCAACAGTGTTCAGTATTTTCTTTATTTCAAACAGTGTTAGCTTGCTCTTGAACATGGTCAGATCTATAAAAACTTGTTTTAAAAAATAAACACAAGCATAATTTTTTCTTTAAAAAAATGACTGCTTCATAATTTAAAGTATTTTTACTTTCTTATGATTTTCAGAATAGATATTACCAACATATCCATATTCTCTCCTAACAATGAAACCATGATATTTGGATGATCTATTCCTAAACAATAAATACTAGACTTGATTTTCAAGCCCTCAACTGACATCTTCCCTATGAAATGAATCCAGAATTCAAACACATGTAAACAGGAGGTTTGACTTGAGTTGTGAAAACAAATGTTTATGGTATTATTTTCAGTTGTCTTTTAAGTCATTGTCACTATTAATCCACACCTGTCTCACCTTCTGTGCATACTTTATTTTACCAGAAGTCTCTGGGTTATACTTTCTATTGGAGATCAGAGTACCATGAATGAACTCGTACTTCCAGAGAGAAAGTTGACCAAATTCCCATTGAGATTTGTTCTCCAATCCTAAATATAAAATGTTCACTGAAATTTTTCTTAATTTGTGATATATCATATCTGATTACAAAAAATATATTACATATATTATTTTAGTTTGTTGAAATTTTATTTAAATGTTTTCTACTACAAACTAAGCTAATAAAAAGCATATTTTAATGACTTTTGTCACAATTCTTAGTTTGGGGATATGTGGAATATTCCTTTACACTGTGTAAATATATGCCATTGTGACTGGTTTAATAAAGAAGCTGACTGGCCAATAGGTGGGCAGGATAAGGCAGGAGAACCAGACTAAATATACTGGGAAGAAGAAGGGCGGAGTCAGAGAAGTTGCCAGCCAGACATGGAGAGGAAATAGGAGGAGCAAGATGAAAGAGAGGAAATGCTATGTGGCAGAATGCAAATTAATATAAATGGGTTAATTTAAGTTATAAGAGCAAGTTTGTAACAAGCCTGAGCTATTGGCTGAGCATTTATAATTAATATAAAATCTCTGATTGGTTATTTGGGAGTAGCTGCTGAGACACAGAGAAACACTGCCTACAAATGGTGCCCAAACTTCTGCAACATGGATCCACATAAAACCTGAGAAAGCTTTTTAAAAAAGGGAGGGTCCAAACACACAAAAACAGAGTCAAATATGGCTTCTTCATAACTACCTTTACTCAGGTAGGCTCTGTTTACATGACTCCTTTAAGAGGCAACTTCCTGGCTTTTCCTAAGGGCAAACACAGACATGACTCTTTAAGAGGCCTTGCTACCAAACACTTCAAAAGGGTTTATGAGCAGTAGATGGCATACTGCTTGGTGGCAGCATGGACCCAACAATATCCCAGATCTGTGGCAATAAATGTGACTCCCACTGATACCTCCTTGATAAAGCTAAGCTCTCAGGGCATCCAGGGTGGAGGGAGGAGCCAGCCACCAATGC